GCTCATTAGTAAATATATATTTATCCCATAAATTATCCCATATACAAGATGTGACTTTTAGTTGTGTCTTGGAAGGAATCAGTATAATTATGTTGAAAACTTTTACATACTCACCTATTATTTTCTTGCTATTGTTATATGACAGAGAAGGGTATAGGAATGGCTTTCCTCACCAAATTATCAAAGGTATGTCTATAATGACTTCATCTGTTATCTTCTTTCTCATTTCTTGATTTTGTGCTTGGGATCCCTGTGCTAAAGAATATAGGAGGAAGACTGAAAACACCTGCTGGGAGACTAGACTCACAACAGGTAGCCCATCAAGGAATACTCTACCAAGACATCAAATAGGGTCTAAAGCAAAAGTTGTTTGTTTAAACTAGAATCCTCCCACCCAACACCCCTATCCCTACCTACCCAACCCACCCCTATCCCTGCCTACCCCACCCAACCCATAAATAGTAGGTGCACCTATAAAATCTGGTTTTTGTTAATGATCATTTAGATAGCAGTAGAGAAGAAGTGTAACAAGATCAGATGGTGCGTAATTGACTGGAATCAACAAGCTATTGATTTTTACAAATATATAGGGGCTGAGGTAGAAGAGGAGTGGAAGCAGGTACAACTGGGAAACAGTGCTATGCTTAAATTAGCCAATAGAACTCTTCCTGATTCGTAAAACTACCGAGTGTTTCTTGATGACAGACTGTAGTAAGTAAAGTCACTGTACCACACAGGACATTGTTCACATTTCGAAAAAATTTCACTCTTTTTTGTTATGTAGGACACTGTTTTGACCCAGAATACGAACAATACGATGTTTACACGATGGCCTCATTGACCTATACTACCAGACTACCTTGCACACTTTCTTTTGTTCAGTTAATTAGCACAACTGAATTGTCTTACTATTCTCATGAGGGAATACAAATTTAAATAAGAAAGAAAATTCGCGAAGCATCTTGGTAGTGGTAGTAAAAAGACGCCATCATGCAAACGTCCTATTCTATGAAGGAGATTTTCTTCCGTTTTTATTAAAATGTCATATAATGCTATAAATAGCTGACATTGGCTTGTAGTTGTTATTGATTAGACCCAACCAGCCCTCACATGTTCTGAATCTTAACCAATGTGAGACAAACCTTTCTAATCCAGAAGATTCTTGGTATAATAAGAGAAATTTCCCTTCTCTCGGCCACTGCACTGACGGGCACATCTCTATATACTAGCAGTTTCAAGTCTAGCCCCCTATGCAACTCTCAGACTCGTACCCAGTCGCTTCTCTTGTCTTGTTAATCTCACGCTGTGGTTGATGGGAAGGATTTAGTGAGTTCCCTGTGCGAAGCGTCGTTACTTTTTTCTCCTTCCCACGGATCTTTGCGCACCGCGATCCGTAGCGGCAAAAGGTAACGACTGGGTACGAGTCTGCACAACTCTTCCCTCTTCCCTCCCCATGGACAGACAGACACTAAAAACTTCTGCGTAGGAGCCTATTTCAAGTCCTGTCTCATCAAAAACAAACCCTCAGTATTTTAAACTGCCACGGTATTTTCGCTGTTTGGGTGCTATACATCAGTCAAGCTTGTCTCGCTTATTCATCATTAACTTGGAACTAACGAACACGATGGGAGAAGATCTCAAAAAGCTGCCTGATAGTGAATTCTGCAATGCTGCTGCCTTTGCTTGGGCTTGCCAGCTAACAGGACCGAAACCATATATAAATCCCAAGCACGATCCACCTTGTTATGAAGGTACGTCTGTCCTTTTTTGATATTTCGTATTTTTTTGAATCTCTATTATTGTCGATGTCTATCGCTTTTTTATTTGACGCTTAACTCTAAGTTTTCTTTCTTTTCAGATGTTGAAGACGACACTAAAAATAGTGCATTAGAAGGGAGCTCGACGGAAGAACTCAAGAAGCTACCTCCTAGTAAATTCTGCAATGCTGCTGCCTTTGCTTGGGCTAACCAGCTAGAAGGACCGAATTCATTTCAAAACTCCAGTCGCGATCCACCTTGTTCTGAAGGTACGTCTGTTCTTTCTTGATAGTTCGTATTTTTTCGAATCTCTAATTATTGTTGTCGATGTCTATCGCTTTTTTATTCGACGCTTTAATCTAAGTTTTATTTTATCTTTTCAGATGTTGAAGACCTCTTGCAGTGATGGGTATTCCCATTTGCAGTCCCCCCTGTAGACGTAGAAGACGACACCACAGTGTCCAGAGATTGCAGTAGAAGATAATTCGACTGAGCAGAGTAAAAAAAGACAACCAATTCGAGTAAAGAATAAACCAAATGAAACTCTATCCCTGATCGAAAAAGTTACAGACAGTTTTTCTCTTTAGACTCTTGTTTTTAACTTGAAACACTGTATCTTTGATCGGCTCAGCCTTAGCCCTGCTTGCAGACCTCTTTTTCTGCCATACGTTCTGGCTTTAGGTCGCTTAACACTACGGAGGGGACGAAAAAAAACCTCTGCTCGCAGGGTAGGCTCATCCGTGTCGATCAAGGATAGTGTTTCGTATTGAACGAGCGAAACACTGTTCTTGGTTGTCACGGCTTCGTCGAATAAGCAAAGCAAAGATGTCTGCCTTGAGGACAGAAAGCTTCAAGCTCAAGAAATAAGAGATTACTTCGAGAAGTGAGACATTTATAAACAATTATTTTGAACTAACGCTTTCTGTCTGTCTGATATACTTATTTTTATRCATGATCACCTCTCGTGATTAAGGTCGATAATATCTCAACGCTTTAGGTGTGAATCGATTCAGAAAATAGACTTTGTACAACATATTTGTACGTTCCATGTAATTACATTTTTAAAATACTTTTTTTATTCTTCACGCATTTATTTAAATAAAAGATTCTTGCTTTAGCATCAAACAAAATCCCAGAATGTTTATATATTCACATGATATCAAGATAATGCTGTTCTGCTGAATACTACTTCATGCAAGACTACATACGATGGATAAATACTACAAAACAAAATACTGCTAATATATACAAAATATGCAATAGCATTCGACCAACCATTTTATTCTTCGATTGCACGTTACGTCATCGCGGCCATGTTGGTGCCATTTAACAAAAGATTTCTCATTAGCATCCATTGTTAACGGCACCACAATGGCCGCCATGTTTTTGTCTTTTGACTCTCTTGGGAATGCTTGCAACCATCAATAGTCTGAAGATGACACACAAAAATGTTGTGTGATGTATGAAGTAAAGCCTTTAAATCTCACTGTACTGACACTGTACCACACTAGATATTATCCCAAAGTATTTCTTAAACACACAATTCTCTTAATCACCATTTCATTGCATCAAAAAGAAAGGACAATAACTCTTTTACGGCAAATCCATAACCGGAAATAAAAACGACCGGAAGTAATCTCGGCGGAATTAACATAAAAAACTTGAATGAGTTCATTTTAGTAATACGGTAGTTAAAGCCGGCTTACTCTGCGTTTTTCTTGGGGTGCTGCGTTTTCATATGCCATCGGAGATGTGATGACGTAATAAAGGCTTTTTCACAAAGCTGGCACCTGAATGGCTTTTCTCCGGTATGCGTCCTCTCGTGGGCTTGAAGGGTACCGTACTGAGTGAAGCCTTTCGGGCAGAACTTACATCTGTAGGGCCGTTCGCCTGTGTGCTTGTAGGTATGTGTTTGTAGATTACGATACTGGGTGAAGGACTTCGGGCAGAGCTTACACTTGTAAGGTTTGTCTTCACTGTGGATGAGTAGGTGACGTTGAAGATGGCCATAGCGAATAAATGAAGAGGAACATTGGGTGCACTTAAATGGCTTCTCACCTGGAATTTAAAATGTTCTTTGTTAAGAATGTGTCATTGTTTTTCATCCACCTCAACATCATTATTCATTTTCATAGATTATCATCACTACCAACATCATCATGAAACGTCATCACCGACATATATTCTTCATCACTATCTATACTCATTTTGTTAAATCAGCATCATCACTGACATTCATCATCATCAATATCAAAGTCATCATCATGTATCGTCATCATCACCGGCCATGATTGTCGTCATCATCTACATTTACATTATCACTATCATTATCATCACCATCATTATTATCCCCGTTATTATCATCACCATCACCAGCATCGTCATCATCGTCATCACCGGCCACGATCGTCGTCATCATCACCTTTATCATCATTATCATCATCATCATCACCATTACTGCCACCAGCATCGTCATCATCGTCATCACATATCTTCTTCACCATCATCGTCATCTCCGACATCATTACTAATACTATTCTTTGTACCTTTGTGTATGTACATGTGGGTGTGCATCTCGTCCCGTCTAGTGAATGCTCGGTCACATACTTCGCACTTGTATGGCTTTTCTCCGGTATGTAGTCTCGTGTGCATCTTGAGAGCGCGGGAAGTCGTGAAAGCAAACGAGCAAACCTGTGACAAGGGAAAAAATAATCAGTTTCAAATATTACGCGAATAGTAATCATTCGGAGAATTTTGATATGTGGTTCCAAATTCACGCACACTTAACCCTGAGAGCCCTGTCATTCGTACTGCGCATGCTCGTCAATATGTCAGGTTCTAGGGTCGAGAATAAGATAATGGCAGATATAGTTTACCTCACAGACGTATGGACGTTCTCCTGTATGCATTCGAATGTGTGTCTTGAGCCCACTCAGTCGCGTAAAATTTTTGCTGCACAGTCTACATTTGTACTTTTCTCCCTCCTTGATGAATAATTCTTTGACTTGTTCACGAGCGAGCAAGGTAAACATGCTGGAGAACGAACCGGAAGAATGAGAATTCTCGTTCATATGCGAGAGGATATGTTTTTGAAAGTTGCCGAACCAAGTAAACTCGCGATCACATTTCTCGCACTTGTATGGTTTGTTGCTACTGTGGATCAGCGAATGACGTTGGAGGTCACTTGGGCGGGTGAATGACATGACGCAGTGGCTGCATTTGAATGGCTTCTCTCCATTGTTTTCTTCAGAGTATAGGGTACTCTTTGTTTCCTTTGGTTCACACTGGTAAGGCTTGTCATCTGCGTGAATTAGTGAATAATGACGCTCAAGGTCTCCCGGCCGGGTAAATAGCATCATGCAACAAGTGCACTGTAATGGCTTTTCGCGGGTTTTACTCTCGTCGTTGATCCGTCTATCGCGGGTGGAGTCATGATCTTTACACTGGTAAGGAGACATCTTGTCATCGTGAACCATCAAATGACGTTGGAGTTCCTCAGGTCGACTAAATGACTTCAAACAGCAAGTGCACTCCAATGGCTTTTCAATGCTTTCCTGACTAATAGCAATCTTTTCGTCGCGCTTCTCGCACTCGAAAGGTTTCTTACTGGAATGACTCAGTACATGTCGTTGAAGATCGCTGGGTCGCTTGAATGAAATGTCACAGTGGTTGCACTCAAATGGGTTCTCGAGCAGGCTGTCGTCAAAAGGCTCCTTCTTAAGCCCGTCCATTCTGGAAGCTTTGCTTTTCAGGGAATGAATTAAAAACATGGAGGGTCTTGAGTGAGTTCGTTCTTTGAATATTTGACTTTCTGCCTCCTTGAATTTCTCGTTTTCTCGCGTTGAGGAAGAAAGCATCGAGTAGTAGCCATTGAAACCGAGCTCTCGCTCAACGGTGTGTGCAGTTCGTAGGTCGTGCTCATACTCGGACATATCTAGGGGTTCCCATGGCAACTCTTCTTCTTTGTGATTGACAGATGTTGCGGAAGCTCTCGCTACAAAATAGACAAAAAAAAACTAATCAATGAAAATTTCCTGCCGTCTCTCAGAACCCCCGTTTCATCAGCGAAACGTGCGCAAAAATTAGCCCCCCCTCTCCCCTCCCTGTAACTAACGCGTGCCAAACCCTTTCCATTGCTTCTTGTCGCATCGATCCGGGCGTGTAACTTCTTGTTAACGCCTTTAATTTTCGCTGTTATGAAAACAACGGGTTCGATTCCTCACCGGGACTTGGCATCACGTGTGTCTGAGTAGAATTTGTTAGGTCTCTCTCTCTCTCTCTTGATTAAAGGGTTTTTTTCTCTGATTTTCTTCCCTCTTAAAAAAGATGCTAAATTCCATTACGATCTGTGGGTTGGCCGTGCCCTGACTTTGATCACAGCCCAGAGGTTGTTTCAGGTTTGATCTATATGAGTCAGTCATGCCCTGACATAGATCAGCCCAAAGATTGTTTGTGGTTTGATCTACGAGTTATTCATGCCCTGACTTAGATCAGCCCAGAGGTTGTTTCAGGTTTGATCTATGAGTCAGTCATGCCCTGACTTAGATCAGCCCAGAGATCGTTTGAGGTTTGATCTACGAGTTATTCATGCCCTGACTTAGATCAGCCCAGAGGTTGTTTCAGGTTTGATCTATATGAGTCAGTCATGCCCTGACATAGATCAGCCCAGAGATCGTTTGAGGTTTGGTCTACGAGTTAGCCCTGACTTTGATAAACTCAGAGCTTAATTGTTTCAGGGTATCGATAAAATTTGAAGGTTCTTTTCATGGTTCTTTGTTCTTATTCTGTTTTTGTCTATTCTCTTCTTTGTCTTGTGTTTTCTTTTCTTATCTGTTTTTGTTTATCTCTTTTGCATCTTTGACAATAACGCTTCCGCCTACGATGTAAAATGAACTCAATGCTATTATCTAGTCATCACGACTGATAAATGGGTTTTCCTGTTCGTTGTCGGATAAAGGTGTAGCGGATTTTATCCTCGCACAAATCATTATCACTCCTTTCAACCGATGAATAGATACACTCCTAGATCCCAAATCAACGCTATCCTTCAGGAAAGGAAATAGAGCAAATCTGATAAGACAAAAATCAACCTTTTGTTTGGTATCAGAACTTCTATCAGTTCTCTTTTATGTTCCGTTAATAAATGGGTATTTTTGACCACCCTATTTTAGAAAGAAAAACAACTTCAAAGTCCGCACGAACAGTTTTGAAAGAGAGTTGAATTATTGATGACAATTCACGTGGACTGGATTGTACTTCACGTAGATTTTAATCTTCTACCAGTTACATTAGTTACATGTACTAAACTCATTCACTCATTTGTCTTGCCAGTCGAATCATTTCTCTGCGGGTTTATTGTGGACTCCAGGGCGAAAAAATAAAGGGAAGAATACGAACGAAAAGAAGCGTTGAATCATAAAATTCGTTTTAAACAGCGTCTGTTTTTTGTCCAATTTTACGATTTCAAAGACGTACGAATAAAGTAATTGTAAATTCAAAGTAATTTTAAATGGATTGTCAAAATAAGATAGATTCAAAAGCATTACTTCTACGGCATTTGATTGCCAAGCACTTAAGATTCAAAAAGGCGAAATTTGGTCTCATTACTCCTCCACAAGCTGAACGCCATCTGGCCTACTCGAAACTAAAGTGTCGGAGCTTAGCACTGAGTTTAATGCTATTGTTGAGCTAAATAATGTTATTGTTGAAACATAATACAAACTAAACAATAAGATGCTCTTAAGTACTTGAGAAGGCTGATAGCCAGGTACCATATAATCGCCTCGTTAAGGAAGGCAATCTTAAGACATGAATCAGGAACGCCGTTTGAGTTTTGAGCAGCAAACTCCATCAATTCAACCATACAAATCAACTTAATCCCCTATTATTACTAAACGACTCGACTTCAAATATTCTTTGCAACAATATACGACTTAAAAACCCACAATATAAATCATTCAAATTTAGTACATTTTTCTTTCAAAGACTTTTGAAAAGAATTTTTTTAAATCTTAAATAAGGCTTTTTAATTCTTTATTTCTCAAACTACAAGCAGATGTTCACTAAACATCCTTTTGTCTTAGCGTTCTTCGCCTATATTCAGCCTCTTTCGCTCCCAAAAATATGTACATGTTTATTCAGATCCAAAGTTGGCAGTGAATAAATACAGTTAAAAGAACTAAACTTTGAATGGCCTATTTATTCACTGCCAACCGTAATATATCGCTAACAGTAAAAACCAAAAGCCTTTAGAGGCTTGACTTTTTCGGCCAACGCTGACTATCTCATGCACCAGAATGGGACTACCCTACGAGAAAAACGAACTCACGAATGGAAATAAATTGGGGTCTAAAATTATTTATCTATATTTCTAAAGGACCCGGATTATGAACCAAATTTTTTGGGCTTTGCTATAGCTGGATTTCATCCAAGGTTTCAGTGGAGAAATTTTCTATGAATTTATCTTCAACTCTCTAAAAAAGAAACTGGATACCGTTTATAAAAATAACATGTGTGGACTTTGAACTAGTTTTAGTGCTCATTTGGAACCATGTTTTGGAGCTCATGTACAAATAAAGTTTTAAGTTGTGTATCAGTTGAACAAGTAAGCAGAATAAAGAATAATCTAACGAATCAATGCCAGACATCTTACGAATTACCAACCGAGCTGTAAGATTCAGTCAAAACTGAGAATTTTTTTTCACTCTGCCATTCAAGTTGTTTTCATGTAGAAGCATGTGAACTTCTTCCCAAAAAGCAAACGAATAATCTATAAAATATATAGGCTCTTAGGATATATCTAGTCTTGAAAATCTTAGTGCACAAGTTAAACCAATTTTTTGGTACTTCGATCCGAATCTTTGTTTCTTTTCTCATGCATAATGTTCCTGAGTTGGGCCGATCAGCTTGGCCTCGTTGTTTGAGCATTCGACGGCAAGAAAAGAATTAAACGAAACACACAAACACTAGATATTGAAATCCATCCTTTATCCTGGTAAAAGTTACGGTCCTTTATCATTATAAACTCGGAGCCGGATATTTATAAATGAATTCAGTAGATTCTATATAATATTCTTACCAGTTTCAAGAGAGTCGTTGGTTCCCGTCGAGATTTTCCCCATTTCCAAATAATGAAATGGAAAGCGGAGTTAACAAGGTTTGACACCCAACAAACACTTTGATAAACACTGAGGCGGTTTGTTTTTTCCCTAAAATATATTTTGAAAGTCTATGATAGGAGTATTGGTATTTAGAGACTTAAATAGCGTACAAGTTAACACGGTCCGAGTGGAGATACGCCTAGTGATTGGTGCCTGTTGATCAGAGCAACTAAGCACTCTTTACTGCGCGACATCCATTATACAAAATACATATACAAGAATATCCCACAGAGAGTATTCATTAAAAAAAAAAAACATCTTCATGGGAAAGATGACTTTTTATGACATTTTGATCGAACTTCGGGTGCTATTTCAGTGGCAAAGTTGCCTCAGCCACAAAAGGGCGTGCCATCGATGACAATATACACAAACTCGCTGCTAGTTCTTCGCCATGACTGAAGCTGAATGAATTTTTGCCAAATGTTTGCCAATTCTTTTGCATTAGGTATTCGTTCAGTGTTTTTCCATAGCTTAGAGCTTCTTGTTTTTTTTCCCCATTGATATACGACTAGATCAATTTTTGAAAGTTATTGGTTCATTACATTAAGTGTCCAAGCTCTCTCTCTTTCTAGGTCTCTTTTTCTTTTTTCTTTCTTATCCAATGAAATTAAATTGAAAAAAAGTTGAAGCCATATTGGAAAGTTTAAAATCACAGCAAAATCTTAAAAGCATCGCGATGTTTTCGTCTTTATCAGTTGAGTTAGCACATCTTTGAGATGTCCCCCAATTATTACTTCTGTACAAAAATTAAATCTTTCTTTACTACAATTTTTTGCAAAAAAAAAAAAATATTTTGGTATATATATTGTATACGGTTAAAGTTTTAAATTATTTTGAAAAAAAATTTCAAAGTTTGTAGATTTGAGTTTATATCGTTGCGGTAAGTAAGCTCGAAAATATTTCAGCCTAATATCTTGAACAAATTGCACGGATTGACTTCAGTGTTTTCTCCAAAGTACTAGATCATCTGCCTTATTAGAGTAATCTTAGAACCTAAACCCTATGTAGGTAAAATAATCCCCATTCCAGTGTTAAATCAATTAGGCAGAAGCTTCAAGCTTAATTTGAAAGTTTATTAGGGAATAAATGAACTATTTGACGTACTTAGACTGCATAGCTAATGAATAGCTAAGAAATTCTTTGTTATTTTGTTTATATCATGAATATATTATGACAGGATCATTGCCTCATAAAGCTCTAAAAATCGTATGATTTTTTAGCCAAAAAGGCAGTTTTACAGGTTTAGAAAATTTAAAAAAAAAAACTTTTGCATATGTTTGTTACGTGAACTCTCCGCGAATTTCGAACTTCTGACACCAATTTCGAGTCGTTATAAGTCTCACACTAATTGCTTAAATTGGCGTTGTATTCCGTACACCTTCGTTTTAAAAGTTCAGGGATTTAGAGGGAGGATCATATTAATTATAGAAAGTTGATTTTTTAGTTCATTATCACCTTTCCCTACGAAGTAAAGTTTTCCATCTGCGGATTCGAGTACGTAAATGTAGCTGTCTTTAATTGTGATTTCCGATCACAATTGAAATTTTTTACAATAGGAAAGAAAAGAAATTCTGAAGTTATTTCCCTTCTGTCATTAGGAGAAAGCATTCCCAGGAAACAAAATTACATTGTACTAAATATTTTACAAAATGAAGAGATTTTTCTTCTCGAAGGAGGAGTTTCCTAAATGATTTCAACACGTTCAGTTTTACTTTGAAATAAG